TACTGATTAAATGAGCTGTGGTGGCGCAGTGATTAGAATGCAGTACTGCAGGCTATTTTTGCTGACTGCCAGCTACCTGCAGTTTGGCAGTTCGATCCTGACCAGCTCATGGTTGACTCAGCCTTCCATCTTTCCAAGGACCCAGATTGTTGGGGGCAAGATACTGACTCTGTAAAACACTTAGAGAGGGCTGTAAAGCATTGTGTAGCAGTGTATAAATCTAAGTGCTATTGCTATTGCTAAATATGGACCCACAGATTCATCTACACTTACCCAGGTCCTCTTCAATTAAGCTGGCAGGCACTAGACAACTCCAAGAATGTCCTTGCTTTATTGAGTCTCAGTACTGTTAGCTGTTGATGGGACTTGGGGAGAAGTTTCCCATGTGCTCAGGCCAACTTCTATTGTCTGGTTTAGGTGACATTTTTTCCCTTCATTTCTTTAATGACTTAGTCCCTTCATTTCTATCTCCTGAAGCGATCTTTGAGACCAGATTCCTGGCTTTTGTCCATCCTGCTTGAGTGCCTACTTCCTCTTTAGGTTTGGCAGCTTCAACTAGTCTCGCAGGACCAGCCCACGAAAAAAAAGAACAAATAAGAATGTTGAAAACTTCATTTTTAACCTCCCCATCCCTAAGCATCCCTAAGTGAAATGCATGCCAGGAGGCAAATAATGTTAGCGTAGGGACTCTGGCATGGATATATGGGATTAGCGGTGATGTGGTTTTCCCAAGCCTCAATACAGGTCTTTTGTTTCTTTAATGAAATTCTTTGTTTTTATCTTGTTTGCCTTCCAGAGTTTCTTGGATGGATAGGCAGCCATATAAACTGCCATAATACATTAATAAAATAAAATCAGTAAGTATTAGGTCCAGATGCTTACAGGCACAGATGGAATGAGCTCCATACATCCTATCCAGACCTGAAATGAGATGAGGAAGTAAAACTGGTGCTTTATTAGTTGCCATGAACTTGAGTGTTTTTCTGGTTTCAATGTGCAAGTTCTAGTTTGCTATCTCTACTGCACAGACCTTCAGTTGCTGAGAAAGTATGAAAGTAAAATAAAAGCTTATCAGTATAACAGAGCTAGAAGGGACTTGGAGGTCTTCTAGTCCAACCTCCTGCTCAGGCAGGAAACTCTATACCATTTAGGGCAAATGGCTGTCCAGTCTCTTCTTAAAAACTTCCAGTGTTAGAGCACCCACAACTTCTGGAGGCAGGTTGTTCCAGTGGTTAATTGTTCTAACTGTCAGGAAGTTTCTCCTTAGTTCTAGGTTGCTTCTCTCCTTGATTAGTTTCCATCCATTGCTTCTTGTCCTGCCTTCAGGCGCTTTGGATAATAGGTTGATTCCCTCTTCTTTGTGGCAGCCCCTGAGATATTGGAACATTGCTATCATGTCTCCCCTCGTCCTTCTCTTCATTAAACTAGGCAAACCCAGTTCCAGCAATTGTTCCTTATATGTTTTAGCCTCCAGTCCCCTGATCATCTTTGTTGCTCTTCTCTGCACTCTTTCTAGAGTCTCTCAAATCTCAAGTGGTACCTTTAGCTCCTGTAAAAACTAAAATGGAAGAAATGGCTTTCTGTTCTCCAGGTTATGTGGATTGAAGCTCCAAGTAAATTCTTTAATGTGCACTTGGTTTCTCATTTTAAAAAAGCTGTTATTTTTTCAGTATAAGCATTCAAAACAAGGTTGATTTTATCCAAAACATCTAGTTTTCAGTTTTCAAGGAAGGAAGGAGGGAGGGGGGTGAGAGACAGTAAGTAAGAGAAGGAACATAAATAGGCAAGTGTTTTGTTTGGACTTGCTCAGGGATTGTCAAAATCTCAAGAGCTTCTCTTAGCATGGCCCACATGGATGAACACAGGGACTATACAACTCCCTGGAGTGATTGCATGAGCCCTTTGGGGTTCCTTCTACAGCTTCTTCTGAGCAAAGCTTTGCTTCAGCATTTGAATGAATGCTTGCAAAACAGTTGCAATCTGTCACTGTTGTAGAGGAAACAAAGAAATAACAAGTGTACACTTGAGCATAAAATTGAAACTTACAGCAGTTTGGTTTGTGCATAGGTTTCCACCCACTGGGTGTTTGGATGGTTAGATGCTGACAGGCAGGATTGTCAGATTCAGTTATCAGATCAGAGAAGTTAGCCATAAAGACAGGGATGCTGGAAGCCAGGAGATCCCAAATGCAAAAACAGACAACAGGATGAGATTCCTGGGTGGAGTTTCATGGTGGAAAATGGTGCTGTTTGCTGCTTTTAAAAATCAACCATTTTGGATGCATGGGAAAGAAAATTCTTTGTGCCGGGATCAGAGATGGAAGGGGCAGGGTGGCCATTTTTTTTCTCATCCTGAATATATAAACGGATGCTGGGATAAGTTGGGGTAGAATTTCATCCTTACAAATGGTGTTTTTTGCTGTTTATTTTATTTTTTAAAATCGACCATATTGAATACCCGGGGAAAGAAAATTCTTTGTGCCAGGGTCAAGGATGCTGATGCCTGGGAAGCCCAAAACTGAATTTGGCTGTGACAAAACAAACTGATGCATTTGGCTTCATTAATCTCCCTATTAGTAACTTTCATTTGTTGATTCATTTGTCTTCTGCACTGATGGATATATAAAATGCCCTTCTAATTGATGGTATTTTGAGTTGCCCAGGTCATCTCTTTAGGCTTGTCTCTCAGTTTTTCACCTTTTGAAGCAAACTTTCTATTCTGTTGTCTTCCAGTCATTTTTATATATTTTATAATTCGGAGGTCTCAAACTAGGAAAGCAGGAAGGGGAGTGAAATAAAAGGAAAGAGGAAAGAAAAGGAAAGAGGAAGGGAAACGAAAAAAAAAGAAAGGAGGAAAGGAAAGAGGAAAAGAAAGAAAAAAGGAAAGAAGAAAGAAGAAAAGGAAAGGAAATAAGGGGAGGCAAGGATTTAATTGTGGTTATTAGGATAGGGGATTAGAATCTAAAGCTGCCATTTTATTTCTGAAATTTAAATTGGGAATGATTTTGGGGGCCTTTATCTGCCTTTTCTTCATGGATAACTCTCAAGGTCAGCACAAGATGTTTTCTGCTTGAAGAAGAGAACAAAATGCTTTCAATTTCATATACAGAACAGAATGACCATGTGTCTTATTTTATAGAGGATAATTGCCTATTTGGAAGGTTTCAGAGAACAGTCTTTTGTCTGAAATTATTATCTTTTTATCTGAAAAACTGTCCAGTCCAAGTGTGATATAATGATACAGAATCAGAAAATGGGAAAAGAGAGCTTCTGAAGATGCTCATAACATCGTCTGGACGTTGAACTGTAGGTGAGATCACTAGATCATAATCTTCCATATGACCCAAAGATGGATTTCAGTTTAAATTCTACATCTCTTCAAAAACGGTTTTTATCACACATAGATTTATACTGAAATCTAACCCTTTCAGACATAGAACCTTTAATATATACACATTTTTGGGTCCAGTTTTGCCTTATTTGCAGGAAAGTCCTGTTGATATACAATGCACAATTTGTTTCCTTGCAGAGAACCATTCCCAAGAATAACTGAGGGGTTTTGGCAGGAGTAATAGTCTAAAACTGTAACATTTGGTAAATTTATATTATAAAGTGAACTGAATGTCTTCCACAATCTTCTATTAATTAGCTGTAAGGAAATATTGGTGAATAGTGTGACTGAGATTATGTATGACATGACCAGGCTGAGCTGAGGGAGGAGTCAAACACATCATCAGTCTCAAGTTCTTGACGCCCAGAAGAGATCTAAGTCCCACCCACCTTGAATTTCTTTGACTCTTCTGGCAATTTGCTTTGACCATTAGTAGTTCAGATTCTTGTAGAGAGCTTAAGCTTGCAATAAATCTTTATACCCATTTGAACTGCCTGGATTTCCCTGGCACTTGAGAGGTTAGGTTTATGGGTGTGTTGTTGTAATTTTGTTGCTAACAATGTGATTTCCATTCACATGCACTGAACCAATGATATGGATCATGCTCTAGTTAAAATATTGTAGTTTGATTCTTTTGCCTTAAGTTCAAAGCTTGTCAAATGTTACCCTAAACAAAAATACTCAGCTTTCATTTTCCTTATCCCACTGGAGAGTCCTCTATTTAAGTCCCAGTTGGTTTGGAGTTCCCTCTCTTTCAACTGTAGCATCTTTAACAAATGACAAACCTACTGCACGAGGCAGGAGGGAGCTTTTATTTTTATGAGTTTTATCATATTGTTTGAAAATAATCTTCTGCTTAATGAGAAATAAATGTCACCATGAGACAAATTCTGATGAGCTTTTCTTTTATGATCATGGGTTCTTAAATTGCTTTCTTCGTTTAAGCCAACTTTTCTTTTAATCTAGGGTAGCAAAAATAATCCCAAAGTCACTTTAATGGTTTATTAGATCCCATTGATTGATTTGTTCTCCACAAGTGCTCAAAGGCTAGTGATAGTAAGAGTCTGCAAGACTACCCTGATCTTCAACAAAGTATTGCAGAGTATGATGTCCTGGATTAGATTTTCAAGCCATGTCCTCTTCTAGAATTCTGCATTCCTTTCTTTTCCAGTTTGGATTATTCCAGTGTCTTTCAACCTTGCAACTGGAAGATGGGTGGACTCCCAGAATTCCCCAGCCAGCAAGGGGACTGTAAATGCTTAGCTCCATTCAGTTTCCCTGATTCCACCCCAATGGAAGGGATTATGGTATCATTAAAAGAAAAAAAAAACCTTGACAAACCAGGTTAAAAGTTCACAAATAACCATGATATGCTGCAAGCCATCTTTATTATGGCATACACTGTAATAACAATTAAGAAAGGAAATAGATATGAAAGCAGGCAAGTCCCCAGATGAGCAGAGTTGGAACGGAGTCAGAATTTAAGCCTCATTTTTCTCAGCTTCTGGTGGAAAAAAGTCCTTCTTCGCTGGATTCTTCCTCGTTTTTTCTTGGGAAAAAATGGTTATAAAAGGCGATTCTGTTTGGGAGAAGATGGGAGGGGGAAGAGAGAAAGCACAGGAGAATGTTGTTGGATTTTAACATTGTTGACAACTCTAGCATCTTACATTTTAGACCGAGACTACAATTGCAAAATTGTACTAGCTAGGGTTGATATTTTTGTCAACTGTCACTTTTTTTTTTTTTGCAGCCATTCACCAAGTGATTTTTGCCTGAACGCAGTGCACATTTTCTCCATGAACATCTCCAAATCAAGTTATAAAGGAACTTCAGGATAATGATAATGATGTCATGATATATTAGGAACTCTTCATTTGGCAGCATACAGCAGGCAATCCACTTTAAGGTGCAGGTAATGTCAGATGCCTTGAAAAATACCACAGGTTGTCAATTATTTTGCATTATTAATGTATGGATGTATGTTTATCATCAGAGATCATGTGAAGCAGATGCAGATTGGAGTGTTTTGCCTTGAATACCCTAAACATATTAGACAACCATTTTTATTCTCGTGCACAGGGGGAAAAAAATTGGTGTGGGGGGCAGTGAGGAATAACTATGACTGTGACTTTTTTTCCCCCTTTTTCCTGGTCTGTCTTATTCTCAAAAAAATGGAGAGTGTCACTCTCAAGAATTTGTAATGTTATCAACATGCCAAGACAGGCAATTTTCTCTCCCTTCAGGTCCTATGCTCGTTCAATGTCAATCCTTCTTCATTTCCCTAGCTTGCATTGTCAGTTGATCCGTTTGAAGGAACTGACTGACAAGCTGCTCAAAAAAGCCTATTAGCTGGAGAGACACAAACCTTGGGGCCAAACCCAGCCAGATACGACTGTGTTTTGGATGACATCCAGAGGAATTTGAGGGAAGCATCCATTGAAAAGGGAAAGGGGGGGGGGAGAGAGAGAGATACCTAGCTTTGCTAAAAAAAAAAAAAACCCACATCATATAATAAAAGTGTTTCTGGAATGAAACATTTCAGACTGAGTGGATAAAATTTAGCGCTGGCAGCTTTGCCAATTTCTCTCTCTCTCTCTCTCTCTCTCTCTCTCTCTCTCTCTCTCTCTCTCTCTCTCTCTCTCTCTCTCATTTTTATTGAAGATTTTAATTTCAGTGATAAAAACAAATGCAAACTAAACTCAGAGAAAGAAAGTAAAGTAAAAAGAGAATGTAAGAAGTGCAAAGAAGGGGAAAAAGAAAAGAAAAAGATGAACTACTGTATATCTACATTAATATATCCTTACAACTCTGAAAGTACAAACATCTTGCCTTCCACTTTTGACTGCTTGTTCCATTAGGATGGATGTTTCCTTAGTTTCTTTCGGTGATTGTGAAATGACTGTGGGCTCACAACAACACTGTGAGGTGGGTTGGGCTTAGATTCCAATATCTCAGGGGCTGCCCCAAAGAAGAGGGAGTCAAGCTATTTTCCAAGGAGCCTGAAGGCAGGACAAGAAGCAACGGATGGAAACTAATCAAGGAGAGAAGCAACCTAGAACTAAGGAGAAACTTCCTGACAGTGAGAACAATTAACCAATGGAACAACCTGCCTCCAGAAGTGGTGAATGCTCCAACACTGGAAGTTTTTAAGAAGAGACTAGACAGCCATTTGTCAGAAATGGTATAGGGTTTCCTGCCTGAGCAGGAGGTTGGACCAGATGACCTCCAAGGTCCCTTCCAACTTTATTATTATTATTATTATTATTATTATTATTATTATTATTATTATTATTATTATTATTATTATTATTATTATTATTAGTGAGTGACTGGCCCCAAATCACCAACCGATTTTCATGCCTAGGGCAGGACTGGAACTCACAGTCTCCTGGCGATTGGCCCAAAATCACCCAGCCAGTTTTCATACCTAGAACTCACAATCTCCTAGTTTCTAGGCCAGCATTTTAGCCACTACACCAAACTGGCTCTCTGGATTCCTTATTCAGTTCTAACTATAGTTATTCTGGAAGCCTCTCCCAGCATCTCAATCAAGAGTGCCAGTCATGTTCCATACAAATCAATATTTTTATTTTGGTCTGTGAAATGATAAACAATAACTTTTCTAAAAAAAAACAGAGATTATGCAAATGACAGCTATGACAGTAAAACCACTGATGCCTAACAATTGCATAGGCAGTGGGTATAGTGTTAAAAATGAGGAAGTGGAATACCTTATCCAAAACAATAAAATAATAACTCCTGGGAGAAAATGCTATAAATCAGCCCCCATACTGTAGAATGGTCTACCATGGAGATACTAAAGCTCTCTCCCTCATAGAGTTTAGAGGGCCTTCAAAGGTAGTTTTATTTCACCAGGTATTTGACCCTTCCTTCATCTTCTAGGCTTCCATCTTCAAGAAAGATTGATTTATTGTTACAGGGGTTGTTTAAATATGAATGCATTGAAGTAACAGGAGACTAATAAAAGAAGTATAGGCCTGAGTCATAGTCAGCCTGATCAGCTCTACCTGCTGATATAAAAAATCAAAGACCTGCTATCTGCATAGATCACCTTGTTTTTCTCTTTTCCTTCCAGTAAAACAATGTGATCCCAACGCTAAAGGAGCAGTTCTGTTTGTGGGAGTAGAAAGGATAATAGTGAGATAAACAGAGAGATTTATGAGGATAAAGAGCTGGGTGTGTAAGAATTATCACATAGGTTCCCCCTCTCTCCTCTTGGTAATTTAGATTTAATTAAATTAATTAAGACATTATTAAAAAAACTTACAGCAGAGTAATTAATATATTGGCTGTTCACACTACATGTTGACAATAAACCATAATTGTAGCACTCACATAACTTGCTATGTCTTATAGTTTGATGTGACGGCCTGCTTCATTGAACACATTAAGACAACGGATGGATTTCCACAAACTACATCAACCTGTGTTAGGCTAGCTTAGATACAGTATAGGAATCTTGCTAAGATATGCTTTAAACTTTTATTTTTCTTTTCTTCAATTTTGTCCGGTTCTCAAAGATTGCCTGGATAAGTCCCTGCAGTTTCCTTGGCAAGATTTTTCAGATGTGAATTGCCATTGCCTCCTTCCTAGGGCTGAGAAAAAGTGACTGGCCCAAGGTCATCCACTTGGCTCTGTGCCTAAGGTAGGACTAGAACTCACACTCTCAGTTTCTAGCTTGGTGCCTTAAGCACTATACCAAATGGGCTCTCTATTTTTATAAACTTTAGTCTCTGCTGAGGTGGGTGGGTTTTGCATTATCAAAAGTGGTATATAGAGAGACGGAAGGTTTCCTTAGAAGACCAAATGGGTGAATGGACAAATCAACCAAATATATAAAATGAAAATTGCAAGTGAGAAGGATGGGAGGAAAAAGTTGAAACATCTCTTTGCAAAAATCAATCTGTATTTAAATGCAGGACTTCAATAAGTTGAATATTGCAAGGAAGACAGGAAATGGGAAAACAAAACAAAAACATCTCTTTAATTCCCCCCCCCCTAATATCTTTCTTGAAGTGGTCTTCAATTCTTCACTGTTTAAGGCAATAGGGCCCTGAAAATAGAAATTATTCAACCAAAGAAAAAGGATATAAATTACTAAGATTACAGTTTCTCCAAAACTCAGGCCCTAACTATTGGATCTTTTGAGTTATCTTTTAGTGACCTTGTTTTTTCTCCTTTGGTCTTCTCTATTTTTATAACTGAGAAGTCACAATGACTGAGTATAGATGAATTAGCCTTGATTTGTATAATTTCTTCCATTTTTCCAGTTCCAAATTCAATACATTCTGTTTCTCCTCTGTTTTTCTTTTCAGATGAAAGGTAGGAATACAGCACTCAGAATGAAAAAGAGGGAGATCCAACATAGAAAAAATGAGAAATTCCTTGACAGTTAGACCATTCATTGGTGGAATGACTTGCCTCCAGAAGTTGTGAGTATTCCATCCCTGGAGGTCCCAAACATGCTTTTTTTCAAAGGCAACTGGACTTTCTTTCTTTTTCCTTGAAGATGTTTCATTTCTCATCTAAGAAGCTTCTTCAGTTTTGACAACCATGACCTGGATGACTGAGAATCTCCATAGACATGACTGAAGGTCTTCAAGAAAAGATTGGACAACCATTTTCCAGGAGGATATAAGGACTCCTGTCTTGGGCAGAGGGTTGGATTAGAAGACCTCCAAGGTCCCTTCCAGCTGTAGGATTCTATCATTCTAACCTAACCTAACCTAACCTAACCTAACCTAACCTAACATAACATAACATAACATAACATAACATAACATAATATAACAACCTAACCTAACCTAACCTAACCACATAACATAACATAACATAATATAACAACCTAACCTAACCTAACAACATAACATAACATAACATAACATAACATAACATAACATAACAACCTAACCTAACCTAACAACATAACATAACATAACATAACATAACATAACAACATAACATAACATAACATAACATAACATAACATAACATAACATAACATAACATAACATAACACACACCAACCGTCACTCTTTGACCCCCTTGCCGATTAGCAGAGCCAGGTCTTAGCACTCTTTCTGAAGGCCTATCCCAGGATAAGGATTGCCTCTATTTACTTGCAGGCTAAATCCTGGCCTGCTGTCAGCGCTTCCTTCTGCCTTATTTCAGTCCTGTCCATTCTGCATCAATTTGTTCCCCATTGTGAAAATACATGCAAAACATTTTCATTTCCTCAAGGACCTCCTTATTTCTAACATTCCTAGAATTTCAGTAACTATGATACAAGATGATCCGAGAGTAACCTGAGTGTGAATTCTGATTAGCAAGAAAATTGCTCCTTAACCAGAAAGGTGTATTTCCTCCCCCCCCCCATCCAGCTGTTCATCAGGAAATCTTTTTTTTGTGAGCTGCATCTTCCAGCGATGATACCTCTCATCTGAAGATTCTTTAAGATGCTACATGCTGGCTTCTCTCTGATGAAGGGCAAAGAGAAAACTCTGAGAGGATCCTTACACGCAGCCAGCCAAGGAAATGAATCAGCAAAGCTCTCTCTTGTTCCATTGCCCTAGCAGAGCAGAGTGACAGGAGCCAAAGAAGCCAAAAGCAGGCAAGAAGACAATGCACTGATGGGCTATTTTGGTGGCAGCACTTTCTTCCTTCGTTTCACCTCAGAACAACACAATTGGATTGATTGAATGGAAAAAGCAGGGCATTGCCTCCTAGCAAAAGAAGCAAAATAGTTGTTGGCAGCCACAAGATGTGGCAGTCGCTGCATCCTGTCCAGACTGCTCCAACTGGCAGGTGCTTTCAAAGGTAATTTTATAATAATAATAATAATAATAATAATAATAATAATAATAATAACAACAACAACAACAACAACAACAACAACAACATATAAAGACCTACAAATAGAAATAGAAAGACTGTGGCAAAAGCAAGCAAGGGTAGTAGCAATAGTAATAGGCTGCTTGGGTGCAATCCCAAAACAACTGGAGCACCACTTGAACACCATTGGCATTGACAAATTCGCTATTAGTCAATTGCAAAAGGCGGCCTTACTAGGAACTGCTTCCATCCTGCGACGATATCTGTAATATCATCAAACATCCACATCTTCCTATCCCAGGTCCTGGGTAAGGACTTGATAGGTAGACAAAATGCCAAATCCAGTCTGAACATCTGGCTGACTGTGCGATGATCAATAATAACAACAATATTGGAAGGGACCTTGGTGGTCATCTAGTCCAACTCCCTGCTTAGGCAGGAAACCCTGTACCATTTCTGACAAATGGCTGTCCAGTCTCTTCTTAAAAACTTCCAGTGTTGGCGCATTCACTGCTTCTGGAGGCAGATTGTTCCACTGGTTAATTGTTCTAACTGTCAGGAAGTTTCTCCTTAGTTCTAGGTTGCTTCTCTCCTTGATTAGTTTCCATCCGTTGCTTCTTGTCCTGCCTTCAGGTGCTTTGGAGAATAGCTTGACTCCCTCTTCTTTGTGGCAGCCTCTAAGATATTGGAACACTGCTATCATGTCACCCCTTGTCCTTCTTTTCGTTAGAGTAGACATACCCAATTCCAGCAACTGTTCCTTATATGTTTTAGCCTCCAGTCCTCTGATCATCTTTGTTCTCTGTACTCTGTAGCCTTCTTCAACTTTGCACCCTCCAAAAATGTTGGGATCTCAACTCTCTGAATTTCCAGGCCCCAAGGAGAAGTTAGCAACCAAATCCATGTTCTTTGGCATGTTCTGCCTATGATTCCTTAGGATTTGTGTGATAGTTACAATCCCTATTGATAGAGGATGCCTTTCATGCAGCTATTGTAGACTTGTCATGGGGAATAACCATGCCAGGCATTTTGATTTAGCATCATTGGCCTTCAGAAATGGCTCATTCTAGATCAGCTTTTAATTACTTTATAAATGCAAATAGCCAAAGAACCTTGGGTTGAGTATATGATCTGCCAGAGTTACTCTATTTATAGTCTACATTCAGATACTGCATATAGATTGGACACACAAGGAATTTGTCTCTGGTGCACAAGCTCTCGGTGTTCATACAACAACAAAGTAATATAATCCTAAGATAGCAATAGGAGGAGGTAGTAGAAAAGATGAGAAGGATAATGGAAATACAGCCAATGCTGTGGGAATTATGTGTTTAGCAGAATGATGGCATGGGGAAAAAAAAGATTGTCCTATGTCTAGTCGTTTTGGCATGAAGTGTCCTGTAGTAGCATCCTGAGGGGAGGAGCTGAAACAGTTTATGTCCAGGATATGAGGCATCTGTAGATATTTTCTTAGCCCTCTTTATGGCCCATGCAATATACAGGTCCTCAATGGACAGTAGACCGATTGCAATTGTAGTCTCTGCAGTCCATTGATAAATATCAGTTCATAATTGCCTGGAGTCGAGGAGGAGGAGGAGGAAGAGGATGACTTTGGCAATTGATTCAGGCAAGTCTCTTTAATGAGTTGAGGTTAACTACTTGGCCTGTTAGACTGAATGAGATGTGAACACAAGGCATATGGGCAGAAGCTTCCTTGTGCTGTAGGCTAGCAAAAGTTTCCCTGGGTCACTTCAGAAACTGTTAATGATTTGTCCAAGTTTGCATTTTGAAGTATTATTGGAGTGAAACTAGTGGTGGGATTCAAATATATGAACAACCGGTTCTCTGTGTGGATGTCGCTTCCAGAAGTCCATTAAAAAAATAGCTACCGGTTCTGTTGAAATGGTGCGAACTGGCTGAATCCCACCACTGAGTGAAACTATTTGCAGAATAACAGGAGCACAAGTCATCTAAAATTATTGTTAGAAAATCAACTGCTTGACCACACCAAGCAAGATACAACAGCAAACTCTACTTCTCCAGAGAGGTGACAAGACTGCATGAGTGGAACAGCCTACACGACACTGTTGCTTATCTCCTACCACACTGAGCAACATTCAGACACCGCATCCCAGCCTGATAACATGGCCCTCGTCCCAATTAGTCAGGCAAAAAAACATGCATCAGCAGTCCTCTGATCATGTCATTTTTCCTAACAATCCCTCAGGGATGTTTCACATGGCACTCAGTGCTCAACCTAGATATCTTGATTCTGTTGCTATCCAATTTGCATCAGCCCTTTTCCACGTTTGGGGTTTAAAAACTCATCAGGAGGAGATTTCATAAACATCTCTCCAACAATATTCCGTGAATGATTCTGACAGCTGAGTGACTTCTACTGACTGAATGGGAAAGAAAACCTCATAGAGGTAAAACTGCCTGCAGCATCTTATTGCTATTATTAAGCTCACAGAAGGTCCTACAAGTGTCTTCTCCACCCCGCCAGCTCACACTCACACCCACACACATGCACACACCAAGTTCTAAAGATGCATGCACCTATTTATGCAGAGCTGCATTTAGAGAGATCTGAATAATGGGAAAGGGAGGAATATGATAAATCAATATTCTAACCACCACTCCTGGATCATAGGAAGCTAATCAGATCAAGGCTCCATTTAGATCTAGGTTATTTTCTCTGTCTGACAGGAGCTCTGTAGTACTTCAATCAAACTTCTTTCCCAGCACTAATTGGAGAAAGTATGAGTAGAAGCTGACTGTTTCTACGAGCTCAACATTAGTTCTGTAACCAAACAATGTCCCATCTTGAATCAATTCCTATAAATCTTTGGAAGGATATTTGGGGTTTCCAGTGTTGGCTTTGGCAGTTGAGTACTGTAGTGCAACTGACTTTAATAGAATAACAGAGTTGGAAGGAACTTTGGGGGTCTTCTAGTCCAACCCCCTGCTCAGGCAGGAAACCTGATACCAGTGGTGGCGAACCTATGGTACGTGTGCCAGAGGTGGCACTCAGAACCCTCTCTGTGGGCACATGCACTGTCAGCCCAGCCCCACCTCCCCCTCAGCCCCTCCTCACCAGCAGCCCCTCGGAGGAGAGTTGCCCCCTGGCGCGGTCCATGTGGAGCAGCGCAGCCAAGGAATTGGCAGCCGGGCAGCAAGGACAATACTCTGCCCTCACGCCCCATCGCATGCAGATGATGCTGAGGGGCACGGGTGGAGGGTGTGGCCACTATGGTGCTGCAGGGCCACCAGGACAATCTGTGGCGGGCCATGGAGGCGGTGTATGGCCCTGTGGGTGGACAGGGCATAGCGGGGGGGTGAAGTAGGGGGCAGGGCAGGGGGGCGGTGCGGTTTTTGGGCACTCGGTCTCTAAAAGGTTCGCCATCATTGCCCTATACCATTTCAGACAAATGGCTGTCCAGTCTCTTCTTAAAAACTTCCAGTGTTGGCGCATTCACAGCTTCTGGAGGCAGGTTGTTCCACTGGTTAATTGTTCTAACTGTTAGGAAATTTCTCCTTAGAAATTTTGGTTGATTCTCTATATGCCAACCAATACTAATAGCAATACCACAGGACTGGGAAAAATGTATTCAGCACAACTAAAGTTTATCAATTTCCCTGCCATTAATCTATAGGGCGGTCAAGAATACACATATTCATATCAAAGAGGAATATAAGCATCAATTAATAATAGTTTCACTCCTCACATCAGAGACTGCATGGTGCTAAACAACACACCTGCCTTGGTGGTATTTCAATGAATAATTGTAATAAAATCCCTCTTTGGAAATCAGATGAAAATCGAACTCCTGTTATATTGATATCTCCTCATTCCCTATTTACAGTGAATTGGTCCTCATGCCTTTTTCCAATGGTGATCACTTCCAGGAATAGCAATATCCCAGTTGAGCTTCCCTGGAACTTAAAATGTCACATGTCAATGCAAAAATTGAGCATAATGCACTCATGTGTAGCCATGCCAAGTGAAAAATCTACTATTCCTCCTCAGATCCCCAAAGACAGAAACTTACTCCTTAATGATGCTTCCATTTTACAGTTATTTCTATGTAGGCATCTATCTTTCTGTCAGTTTTACAACTATGTGTTTACCCTTCTCCCTCAGAAACGGCTGTTCTCAAGTGCCATCTATTGTTCTCTTCCACCAGGGAAATGATTTATCTAATTGCAAAGCACAAAATCTGCAAAAATATTGAGTACAGATTATGGCGATGGAAAGTGCAAGCTTTATTGATCATTTATTGATATACCATATTTAAAAAACCACCCATCTCCCTCATAGGACAACTCTGGGTGATGTACGAGCAGGTGCAAACTCCCTCTTTTCCCGAATCCTTTTCCTAAAGTTATGTTTGTACATATTTGAGAAATGATCTGTCAAATTTTGCAAGTGGGATGCAAAACACTCTTTTCCAGGGTGAAGAGGAAAACCTGTCATCCTGAAAAATAAAATACATGCATTCGTGTGGAAAGATGACTCAGGCTATCCAAACAGGATTAGCAGAAAATGGACACCCATATAAATGTGAGTTAAAAGGAAATATTTTATCTGAGCTTATTTGGCTTCCTTTTGACCTGTAGAGAACCTTTTATAGCTTACATGTAAACTCACTGATGAGAAGGAGGAAGGTATTAATTTGCTGACAATAGGTCAAAAAAGAGGCCATGTTTTTGGTTGCTATTGGTTTTGAATATTATTTGTGTTTGTTGCTTGTCAGGCAAAGGAGAAGAAAAGGGGGGAAAATAACCTCAGTTCAAATTAATTGAAACCTAGATAATTTTTAATACTCCTTCATCTGAAGCAGGTCACAAAATTATACCCAGCAAAATCATAATTCCCATAATTCCATGTTCTTTTACAACATCATTGTTATTTTTCGCCATGCTTTATTTCTCTTTTGCTGTTTTGATCCATTTTGTCTTTTAAGGTTGTAATGTAAATAGACTTTTCCATTCCCAGTTTTATTCATATAATACTTGGGAGGTAGATCAAGCTGAAACATAGTGTTTGTCTCGGTAAGCTCATAACCAAGTGGGATTAAAACTAGGTTTTTTCTTGAGCCTAAACCAATGGTACCTATGGCATTATTTGGTTTTATTTATTTTTATTTATTTACCTATTACATTTTTATCCTGCCTTTACTACTTTATTAGTAACTCAAAGCAGTGAACATACGTAATACTCCTTCCTCCTTCTATTTTACCCACAACAGCAAGCCTGTGGGTGGGCCAAGAGAGAGTGACTGGCCCAAAGTCACCCAGCCAGCTTTCATGACTTAAGGAAGGATTAGAACTCACAGTGTCCTGGTGATTGGCCTCAAATTATCCAGTTGGCTTTCATGCCTAAAATGGAACTAGAACTCACAGGCTCCTGGTTTCAAGACCAGCACTTTAACCATTACACCAAATTGGTTCTATGATACCTATGCCACATTTTATTTCCTTAACGAACTCTGGAAGCCCTACCTAGGCAAGGACAATGACCTAATGAACTCTGGAAGCCCTACCTAGGCAAGGACAATGACCTAATGAACTTCATCACAATTTGAGATTTGTTTGTGGGTGGGGAACCTTGAGAAATTCCCAATTAGTATGAGTCTTCTTTTCAAATATCTTCATGCACAAACTTCTTTTCAATTTAGGCAATGCATGTTCTGTCCAAATATTATGTTCAGGGGCAGACAGCTCTGTGGAGACCTTAAAATAGGACAAGGCATGTCCCGGAAAAGCAGAAGAAAAGTCACTCTGACTGCATTCAGAGGAAATTTCACTTAACTAGACTAATGTGTGAACAATGCCGCCCTGATACGAAACCAAACCAGCAACTTCCCTTCTCTTGTTTCTTTTTATCTCCATTTCACAGCAGAGGCTCTGTTGCTTGGTAATGCACAATGCCAACTCCTCAAGAACAGTAATTAACTATAGTATGGCTATAATAATATGTAAGTATAACATATTTGGAAGTAATTGGAAGTAAATTGCACCTATAAGTGCTTCGTCTCAGATTCCTCCATCCAATGCTTGGGGCTAAATTGTTCTCCAATGAATTTTTCAATTTCAACAGTCTTTGACTGTGCATTCTTAAAATATATTGGTGTGTGAAAATGGTGTAAATATTATTGCACACCCAGGATCATCTTTTCAAAAGCACTTGTTCATCCTTTTTTTTTTTTTTTTGCCCCTCTGCCTTGGTAACTACGCGGCCAATACCACTTCAAGCCTATTTGTCCATCTTTCTCCTCTATCTTGCTGGGTGGTTAATTTTCTATTTTCTGTTCAGATTGGTAGCACAAAAGCAAAAGTGTGTGGTGTAGATGGGGGAGAAATTTTCACTTGTTCTTTTTTGTCCCCAATTGAATAGTGATCATTATACGAACAATGGATGTTTAAATAAACCATTGTACTTAGCGGATACAATTCTTCTTTGTGTCTAATTGTTCCACCTGTGTTTAAAAACCATTGATTATGGCTGCCATTTGTGAAGGGGTATATATGAGTGCTGCAATGAAGGACTGTTTAAAAAAATGCAGAGCCATCGTGTAACTATTTTTTTTTTTAAAAAAAGAGTAAGAAAGGAAGGGGACAATTAAAAAAATAACTGTGGCTGAAATGGAATTTGTTAACTGATTAGTATGAGAAAATGAGTTCACTGTCCACATCTAGGAGAAACGTGAAGACTTTTCTTTCCAGTTTGTCTTCTTATTCCTTTTCTCTCTCTTTTGTCTCTCCACCAACCAATCAGTCAATCTGCCTGTCAACCAAATCCTGCTGCTTCTGTACCTTTCCTTGATCAGACTCACTTCAAAAACCTGGATTAGCATTCTGGAACATTTTTTAAAATATTGTAGCAACAAACAATCAAAAAATCAAAGCAATAAAAACAAAATGTTTCCTGCCAGAAAGCAATACAGGTTTAAAACGTCCCTATGAAATTAGTGCAAATGATCCCATCTACGGAAATCAGCAGAGGTCAGATCCTTCAATAGAAGTAGGGTTTTTTTTTTTTTTTTTTTTGAAGATAGATCAGTGCAAACACTCAGAGGAAGACAGATAAACCAGCTTTGTGAATTTGATACTTATATATTGTAATTCTCAGTCAATTATTTCTTCATCAAATTGCAACTGGGAGTATTTGGATTCATGATGGTTCTCCCTAGTGAGCTATCAATCATCTGGTTACAGATTTGATATTCTGTTAAGACAGGGTCTTCAGACGTGGCCCTTTTATGACTTGTGGATGTCAACTCCCAGAATTCCTCAGCCAGCCATGCTGGATGAGGAATTCTGGGAGTTGAAGTCCACAAGTCATAAAAGGGCCAAGTTTGAAGACCCCCATGTTAAGAGATCAGTATCTGGGATGAAAAACCTCAGACATGGCTGTATTGCTCATTACCTTGGTTATTTCTGTCTGGGGAATTCTAAGAGTTGTAGTCCAAGAGTCTTAAAAGTTGCTAAGGTTCTAGGGTGCGATTACTCTGAAGCACTTCCCCCCTCCCCCTTCTAGCTTGGGACTGAGCAGTCTCTTGATCTAGGTATCTTTCTGGGAAAGCTCTGAGTTGGCCAAATCCACCCCCTCTGCTGCGGAAGGTGCACATTCCATTACACAAGGTACCATGGGAGTTGCAGTCTAAAATATCTGGAGGGCAGCAGGGACTCATAATGGAGTCCCTTCCAACAAATTTACATGAGATGGCATATGTATGAACTATTCCAGTGGTGGCCAACATATGGCATGTGTGCCAGAGGCGGCACTCAGAGCCCTCTCTGTTGGCACGCACGCTGTTGTCTCAGCGCCGCCTCCCCCTGCATCCCCCTCCTCACCAGTAGCCCCCTAGAGGAGAGTTGCCCCCAGGCACAGCCTACGCGGAGCAGCACAGCCAAGGAGATGGCAGCTGGGCAGTGGGGACAAGACTTTGCCCTCGCGCCCTGTCACACTCAGATGATGCTGTGGGGCACGGGCGGCAGGCGTGGCCACCATGGCACTGCTGGGCCACCTGGGTGATCTGCTGTGGCGGGCTGTCGAGGTGGTAGGTGGCTCTGCAGGCAGGTGGGACAGGGAATGGAGTGGGGGTAGGGTGGGGCAGGGAAGCAGGGCGGGGGTGGTTTTTGGGCATTCGGTCTCTAAAAGGTTCTCCATCATTGAACTATTCCAACCTGATCTGAATTGACACCCCGGGCTTTCTTTACCTTTCTTATCTGAGAAAAGAGGACAGCTCTGATCCTGGCCATTGACAGCTGTTCTCATGCTAGTTGGGATTCTTTCCCAAACTGTTATTATGTCACTCACCCATCATCAGATATGCCAACATCAGATATGGTAACATTAGCTCTCACATCTTACAATATCAAAGCAATAGCAGTACAGGCTTTATGCCAACCACTGTTAAATCATCAGATACCCCATTATTGAATAAATCTGTATCTGAACGGAAATGCAATGATTTGCAAACAACATTGCAGGTAATTTTAAACGAAGCTAAATTGGAGGAGGAGAAAGGCGAGGACAACAGCACCAGATTCTAGCTGGAAGAGGTAATTATTCTGACTTGCTATTTTAATTACAGCTGTGAAACACGAAATGTGCTCCTAATCCCTTGTTAAAGAACAGGAGGAGGAGCATTCTCAATCCTTATACCCAAGTCAGTTCAAATTGGCTTTGCAATGCATTCTGGGAAAGGCTGATCCTATCCTTTCTCTTCTGTGTGGTGATGGCAACCGCAATAAAAAAAAAGGTTAGTGACACACATTTCTGCATCCATTTCTAGTTTTTAATAGTGTGTTTAGTTTAACCACTCGCAAATCTCTCAAGGGATATTGTCTGTGCCTTGGTAGATGTAGCTAGGCACTCAACAAAAGACTCCATGACAAGGTTCCAGGAATTAGATAAGTAATCTGTGGCATCTTAGAGTTGAAGAACACTACTCATTCTTTAGTAGAGGAAAAGGGGTCAGTCTTCATGTTTTAGTCCACATAACTAAGATTTGTGTGATTCTGTCTCACAGAGGTGGCCTCCTCCCCTAAAAAAAAAAAAAAACAATAACAAAAAAAAAACAAGACTAAGACTTTATTCAGTTTAACTCCCAAATGAGTGTAGGACTAAAGCTTTTGTCAAATCTTTCTTTTATAAACTAGATAATTTCTAGTTGTTGCTTCAGGAACTTTGAGAATTGTAATCCCAACATTTCTGAAGGGTGCTTGTGAAGTGCAAAGCAAAAAGTTGATATTTTTGGCACCAAAGGTTAGGTAGTTATTGTCCTTTTCTCTCTCTCTCTCTTTGCACTTTTCTCTTTCTTTCCTTTCTCTTTTTCTAACTTTTGTTTCTTCTAGATGTTTACTTTATGGTGAAACTTGTTAAAAAAAAATACTACCAACATTCTGGAGGGGTAGGGGGAATTATTTTAACCTGTTCTCCACATTGCCTACATATGTATGACAATATTGCACCTACTCTCATTATATATACTAAAACTCAATTAGTCCCCCTTTTTCTTAGAGGCATTTTATTCTTCCTCATATAACATGAGAGGAATTATGCTTAAGAAAGAAGAATGCATATCATATTGTTTGAAGAGAGGTTTTCTTCTTCCCTCTCAAATACAATTCTCTTTTTTGTCCTGGAACAATTCTGTGCTGGACCAGTCAGTTAGCTTAAGAACTGTGTTAAAGTATTTGGCATTTACAGGGTTAATGTTGTATCATTGGGAGAACTGTATGTTAGAATGTTTAGCATTTAAAGGGTTAAATGCTGTTTCCTTAAGAGATGGCTTATGGGTAATGCAATTTTAGCTGTTAGTTAATCCTATAGTTCATCTAGACAGTGGGAGGAGTTAAAAGTTATTGCAGGACATTCTGTTACGTGCCAGGGTTATAAAAATCCTTTGTGCAACCAGCATGTGGATGCATGTTTGGCACCTATAACCACGCTAAGCTGATATGGAGAATTATTGCCTTTTACTATTCCGGAACCTGAACTAAGATGTCTTGTAGTTGTGGTCTGGACAACATCAACTCTATGGAAATGAACAGATATGCAAATGACCAGAAGCATCTTCAGCACAGTAAGTCTTTGCTTAGAATTTCTGGACAATAAATACTTGTTTTAAAATCATTTTCATTGAATTGATGCTGTCCAGACTAGAACTACAAGGCATCTTAGTTCAGGTTCCAGAATAAATTCTGTGGTTTTAAAAATCTTATCTGGCCATTAGCTACAAGTTGTAGGAAGGAGGAGGAGGTATGAACTTCCATTCTACTGCAACATGGAAGATGACCATTTTGACCTTCCTCTCTACCTTCCTTTCTCTTTCCCTTTAAAAAAGATTGCTGGAGAGAGAGAAAAAATACCATCAAGTACATCTCCCAAATAACAGAAGCTATGCAAATCATTGTTTATAAACAATGTTGTCTTCAAGAAGGACATTTATAGTCTAGTTTGGAGAACAGGTTTGCGTATTAAGGGGTGGAGGAAACGAAAGCAAAATCCTTCCTTACCATCTAAGGATGGTATAATGACATCTGGGAAACACCAGTAAGATTAAGATTTCATATCAGTATGAAGATATAACTCATCTCAAATGTAATGATGATTACACAGGGGGAAGGAAGGAAATCCCAATTTTAAATGTTAATTATTCATCCAATTGAAATTTTTTAAAAAAAGATTCCTCTGATTTCCTGCTATAGAACTTTGTTGATGGCCTGCATATTTGTTACTGCATTTTTGTTTATGTTTTCAAGTATGATTTGGCACTCTCTATTGTTTTCTTGATGCTTATTTATTTATTCTGCACCTTTGAGTCAGTTTTTGGCTCCTGGTGTCTGCCTGGACTTGTCCCTGCAGTTTTCATGGTAATGTTCTCTGAAGCGGTTTGCCATTGCCTCCTTTCTAGTGCTGACAGAAAGCAACTGGCTCAGGGTCACCCAGCCGGCTTTCATGCCTAAGGTGGGACTAGAACTCATAGTCTCCTGGTGATTGTCCCAAGGTCATCCAGCTGGCTTCATGCTCAAAGTGGGAGTAGAACTCACAATTTCAGCTCTAAAATTTCACGGTTTCAGCTCTAAAAATTCCCAGCAAGAACTGTCTGATGCCTCTACTCAACTTGCCTTTTGTTAGAACGTACGGTGAAGAGCACCCTATCCAAGTCTGTTTCAAGAAGGGGAGTTTATTTCCAGCTGGGTGCACACAGCAAGGTCAACCACACATCAAACTGGACGCAAAATGGTTTATTGCAGTGTATAGCTGGCTTCATGTCAAAGGTGGGACTAGAACTCACAGTCTCCTAGATTCTAATCTTTTGCTTTTAATAGGATCATTATTAATGGTGGAAGGACAATGTTATTTATTTAAATATGTAATATAGAACTTCTAAACTCCAGGAAAAAAAGATAATAAAAGGAGTGACAGTGATGAAAATAAAATCTGATTCATTTTCCAGTGCCTCTACTTGAAGCTGGTATTGATGGTGCTTGAAATTCTGGAGATATGTTGATAGTAGAAATAGATCAATCTTTTCCAATTGGGTAATATCCGTATTCAAATTGGGTAAGAATTCCAGAAGATGTAACTCAGATACTCATGTAGCAAAGTCAGAGCTCATTACTTTCATCTTCTTGAAATCCTCACCTGAGTATGTAACATCCAGGTAACCTTGCAAGAAGAAGAAAGATAGGGATGATAAATTCTGGTGTCCTTCTGAGCATGTCTCATGGCTTTCTTTAAAAATGAAAATGGCACATTCACCAATCATCCAACGGTAATGTGTCTACCTACCTGGAATTCAATATAAAAAACATTCACCTGTCTGAAAGAACATCTATCTTTTCCACCATGGAAAGATAAAAGAATTGGTGAAGGTTTTGTTTTTAATTTCTCCACTTTTCTGCTTTCCTTTAAGGTTAAACTCACATCTTACTGATGGCCATCTGTTTCCCCCCCAGAAATTGGCAGCTGAATCAAACCAAGAGGTGCCTTTACAGATGTGTTACTGCGTTGAAATCTTGACAGTTTTCAGAATCCACATACAAGGTGGCTTTTGTCACTTCCTAAAGTTGTGAATGTCTCTTTGGATTTGCTGTTAACGCGCTGAACCAATCTACAAATATTCAGAAGATAAAGGTAACAGAAGTTTAATATTTGATGATAGATGGAATCTTGTTCCCACTGTACCATTTTTCTCTGAGTATTTGTTCAAGCATGTCATTCTCCACAATATTTATTTATTGAAGAATTTATACTTCTCTCTTTGGCATTGAGCTGATCTTACCCACTCAAGTTGACCACTGATTCTCCCCAACAGAAGGGACTATGTGGACTTTCAAAAAATGTGTTATAGCTTTTTGTGGTACACATTTTTTGGGGGGGACTCAGAGGCATATAGAAATAATTCCACATGTTCTCTGTGTTAACTATATTAGCTAATTCTCCTCTGAGAAACTAGATGAATGAGGAGAGGGAGTATAAAACTGCTAATATGGTCTATTTGTTGTGTATGTGTGTTTTGCTTGTGTGGGTGAGCCTTAGAAAAACCAAACATCAAAAAAGACCTTCCGCCCCATTTCTTTTCTGTACTTTTAATCCATATTATCGACCGCAAGACCAAGCAATTTCATTTTTAAAAATAAATGCATAAATAAAGGGCCTCTTAAAATACAGATGTGGCTGTAAATCTACCTTGAGTCGGAAGCATGTTACTAAATTTTATGTTGATTTTCAATTTGTAATGTTCTTATTATCCAAGCACATTAGCTGGGCTCCTTCAATCAATTGCATTACTATATATATCTTTCCAGGGAGGTCACCAAGTCTCCTGTTGTAAAGCAGGAAAGAATCTTGTGGCTACTTTTTTTATTATGGCATAAGTTTATGAGTCCAGAAAAGCTAATGTTATAATCAATGTGTTAATCATTAAGTCTTTTTGTTCTTCACAGTAGATATCAACCTCCATCCCAGGTCATCTGATTCAACCTCTGTTTTTCAGCCAACCATTCATCTTAACTTCCCAGTATGTTATACATCTTAATCTCACTAGGAAGTCCTAGATGGAATATAATCACTATTTCTTGTTGCTACTGGATAGCAACTGGAACTAACTTACAAGTAACAGGTAAGAGAATATGATTAATAATATAGTGTTAATTAGACTGGAGGGGAAGGGAAACAAGGCACTAAAGCATTCAGTGAAATGTTTCACTGTGTCCCTGCACAAACAACCCAAAGACATATTTAGGGTTAAACTAGCTCTCTTCTTTTCAATGTCTACTCCAAACCAGCAGACAAAGGTCCTTATCTAACAGCTGTTTAGCTGGTTTAACCATAGCCTCAATTATGTGAAATCTGAAGGATTAGACGAGCCACTAAGGAGAATTAATCACAACTTTAACAACTGATTCTGCAGCAATAATAATATAAAAAACACTCATAATCAGTCAGTGGGATAATCCAGTCTTAACCCCAACAATTGGTGTTCTCTCTCCCTACATTATGCCCTTTAGTGAAGGTTATTAAATAGTGTGGTTGTGGACTAATATTGGTGCTGATTGGTCAGGAAATTGGGCTGAAATGGGTGAGTCAAATTGCTCATTGGCATCCAGAACCATTCATCTAGATCAGTGAGAGATAAAGAAGTTGTTTTACATGATTTTAAAGACCCCAGAAGAGAATAACTGGCCATACCATGCATTTCTGCCACATTCCAGAAACTAAATGAATAAAGCAGCTGTCTGACCTAGCAACAATTTTCAATGGATTGCAATTGCTAGGATAAAACATCCCCATCCCTTCCAAACCTATTAGCACTTACAACTAGGACTGCTCTAAATAATCTTTTATGAACATTTTCAGGTTAAAAAAAAAAAAGAGAGGGAGAGAGAAAAAAAGTCTTGCGGTCAGAAATGTTTCCATCACACTTCCTATAATCTACCTGTCCTTTGTTGCCACTTCAACAGCAGCTCTTTCCTTTCCCATTCTCTTAGCAGCTTGCTTCCATTTGAGGTTCATGACTGCTCTGTTTCCACGAGTTGCTCCTATCCATGAAAATATACTTAAATAAAGCAAGACAAACTATGCTTACTCAGATACAACAATGACATCTTCTGTCCTGTTTTCACCTCCTTTTAAAGTCTTAAGCCTAATTGTCCAAAGAGAAAAGTATATGTATATGTATGTTTATGCATATGTGTGTGTGTATTTATGTATGTATGTATATATATATAATTCAAATTTCTTTTTTGTTGACAAAGAGTTAAAGAGTTAAATGGGAGACTAGAATAGCAATTTTGAGCTCGAAATAGCTATTCTAGTCTCCCATTTAACTCTTTAACTCTTTGTCAACAAAAAAGAAATTTGAATTTGTAATGTATCACAATAGCGACTTGAGCCTGCTTAATGCCCCTAGTTTGGGCGGCTACAAGGCAAAAGTGATTATAAGTAGAACTGCAGTATAGCAGTCAAAATACCAAGGTGCATCAATTAGACCGATCTGTCCAGAAAAAAAATTATATATATGTGGCAGAAATGCATGGTATTCTCTTCTGGAGTCTTTAAAATCATGTAAAACAACTTCTTTATCTCTCACTGATCTAGATGAATGGTTCTGGATGCCAATGAGTAATTTGACTCACCCATTTCAGCCCAATTTCCTAGCCAATCAGCACCAACATTAGTCCAGAACCACACTATTTAATAACCTTTACTAAAGGGCATAATGTAGGGAGAGAGAACAGCAATCATTAAGGTTAAGACTCTCACTGATCTAGATGAATGGTTGCTAAGTTATGTTTGACTCTTTGAGACTCCATGGACCACAGCAATCCAGGACCCCCTGTCCTCCACTGTCTTCCTGAATCTGTCCAAACTCATGCTCATTGCATCAATTTGTCATGGTTCCGACTAATGAAAGAACTTCCAGGCATGTTTATCCTAAAGCCTTTATTAACAGTGTTACAAATTGACGGCACATCATGGAGGTTTATGCCAGAATCTGAATTCCTCTTGCTGGCATCTAACTTTTCTTGCAGTCACAAGTCACATCTTCCAATTAGCCCAGAGAGCAGAGATTCACTTCCCTTCCTCTTCCAGGGCTTTTGTTATTTCCCCTCCCTTTTCTCTGTCATCTGAATTAACTCTAAAAATACCAGACAGTTCTGCATATTTTGTCAAAGCAAGAATATTCAATATTAGCAGCGTTGACACAATTACTCTTTCTAACTATCCCATCTTCTGCCATCCCTTTCTCCTTTTGCCTTCAGTCTTTCCCAACATCAGGGTCTTTTCCAATGAGTCTTCTTTTCTTGTTTGAGTGGCCAAAGTATTTGAACTTCAGCTCCAGTACCTGTTCTTCCAAAGGACATACATAGACATATAAATAAAAAATGGAGAGTAATCCTTCTGCCCAGGGATATTGCTAGGGATTTACCTGTCCTATTGAAGCTGATAAGGATTTGGTTTAAATTACAAGTAAACATTTGAACGATGCAAGAACTAGGGTTTTGACAAATTAACCACAGATATCCTTAAGCAGGGGGACTGGAATAGAAATTCAAGTTACATCAGCACCTCACTGGTCTTGGCTGATCTTAGAAGCAATCTGGCATCTTGATTATTACTTGGATGAGGGCCCACTTAAGATCTCTGGGCCTGAAAGGAGATAATTTCCAAGAAAACTGCATGGCTGTATTCAGCAAGAATCAAGCTTGTCTTGAAGAAGTTTCTTTCTTTAATCTGGAAGTGCAGGGAACAAACATAATCTTCTGCATGCAAACCCTCTTTTCTACCAATGAACGATGATGAAGGAAGAGTTACATTTTGCAGCCTAATACTTGATGCATCCTGAACAAAGAGGCTTTTGTCCAATCAAAATCTAATGGAGGAGCATACAGCAAATGATCAGTGACGTGTTATTAGCTTCATGCAGCTCCTCTTAAGAAAAAAAGTCAGCATCCAGGATCATCCTTGACACTAGTATTCAGAAGATCCCCGCAGTGGTTAAAATAAGCATCTTACAAACAACCTCAAATGAGTTCTAATTGCCTAAAAATGCTGCATTACAACTGAGACAGAGAGAGGTATGTGACTCTCATAGTATTGTTCTGATTATGTGGCACTTTCAGGATCAGCTGCAAGTAGACGAAATTAACCCATTGCCATTGGAGAAAAGAATCCTCAATTATGGAGAGCAGGCAAGGTAGACTGGGGTTGAGTTTGATTGTGTGGTAGAAGCAGCAGGCACAATTTTGGAATGCAAAATGACCCTGGTGAGGGATTTCATTTTTAAAGCTGTCATTTGTGTAATTTTAGCCAAGAAAGTAAATGGTTGCAGATCAGAGCTAGAAATGTACTCTAAAAAGTAAGGGGGAATAATAAAAAAAAGGAACCATACAACTCAAATGAAAGAGTTGGAAAAAGTTATTTACTTCTAACTCCTTACTGTGTGCAAGAATCCAAAGTACAGCATTCCCAACAAATTAAAACATTCCCAAGGTTTGTCCAGTTTTCACTTGAACACATCTTTCTAGGCAATTGCTACACTGCTGATCTTCTCCTACTTTTCATCAGTAAAGGATCCAACTATCAGCTCGTGAAGGTGAACTCTAATTCAACACACCAAAATAGTTTTCCTCTCTTGTTAATTGTTCTGATACTCACCGCAAGAGAACAGAAAAAAGTAGAACACTTTTAGAGTACTTTTCAAATTATGTCACCTTCTTAACATATCTTACAATGAGAAAAACCACCAGACTAAGATATATTAGGTAAAAGAGGGGGAAAACTTGTAAGAGCTGGTGTTGTCTTGGCCAGTAGGGAGACTATATATAGCTTTTTAATTGCAGGTTAGATAACACCCTCTCCAAATTATCCTGGGCTCTTGAGAAAATTACATTATTCATTCAACAAATGGGTGTAAGGTGCTTCCCATGACTTGGTAGAACAGTGGTTCTCAACCTTTTTAATGCCGCGACCCCAACCGGTCATAAGTCGAGGACTACCCAACCGGTCATAAGTCGAGGACTACCCAACCGGTCATAAGTCGAGGACTTTCCCTGCCCGGGAGCTCCGCGCATGCGTGGTGCTGCCCCCTGCGCCGGCTCAGACGTAGCTGGCAAGGGGCAGCAATGGTGCAGGGCGACCACTGGCTGAGGCCACCAGCTGGCCCAGCCCAAGGGAGGTAAGGCACCCGTCGGGCCCCACGCGTGCCAGCAACCCTCCCTGCACCCGCCGGCCTCCCACCTCCCACCCCTAGCCCTCTTTTACTTACATTTTTAGTAGTTGCTCAGCAGGGAGGGGTGGAAATTTCCAAACACCTCGCCTTCGCTGCAGACAACTTGCAGCACCGTTTGCAGAATGGGACTTTTGGCGGGCTCAGCAGGGCAGAGACAGCCTGGACAATTCCTATTGGCTTTTGAAAGCCAATAGAATAAAAGGAGTAGCACAGCTAAGGAAAAGGGGGAAAAAATGGCGGACTGCGTTGTTTGGCGACCCCGGTGAAATGGTCATTTGACCCCAAATGGGGTCCCGACCCACAGGTTGAGAACCACTGTGGTAGATCATCAAAAAATGCCAGGTAGTGTATAGTCAAGAAAAAGCAATGCACAACACACAATTACCACAATGTTCTCTAATTCTGCCTTAAGTCTTTAAAAAACTTCAGTAGTTAATACTCAGTTGCTAATATAATGAAGCCGAATGTCAGTGAGATTTGTGATGGAATGAGGGCAAAGAAGAAGCTGCAGAAAGTCATCTTGTCAATTGCACTGAGATTTGGTAATGGTAATGAAGGGGGGAGAGAGAAAGTTCAAATAACATGACAAGTTTATTTGAACCTTAAGGTATTTGAACAAGAACCGGAAGTAGAAAAAATAATTGTTCAATGAAGGAATTCTGGGAGTTGAAGTCCACAAGTCTTAAAGTTGCCAAGTTTGAAGACCCCTGTTCTAAGCTTTGGAAAGAACTCAGCTGGTAACATATGCTGGAAATGTCACAGCTTTATGAAAAAGCAGGATGCTTAACCCCAGTGCGTAATTTTCAACAAAGCAATCAGCACTTTTTAATATACTTTCTACAAAACCCAAGTGCTACAATGATTCTGACTAATACTGTCAGGCTCACAAAGGTCATTACGTATTTACTGCTTTTATTGTTCACTTCTACAGCTTTTTGTCTCCAGCGCAACTATTATGTGAATAACTAGCAGAGGGTGTAGCTACCACTGGATAGATTTCAGAGAAGGCATGGTTTTTGCAAACCATTTTTCTTCCATCTTAATCTTATCTTAATCTTTTATTTTGCAACTGACTCATGGTAAGAACACCTCATAGCACAGAACCTAGAACATGGGATGTCTCATCCAAGATCCAATTGCCAGCTATAACCCATCATGTTATAACTGGGTGGGAGGTAGGGTTTTCCACTGAATTAAGAAAGCACTCATCTGATGCCCTATATTTTCAATTAAGCTGGTTAATGTCAGATCTAAGTATTATTCATTCATTGGATTTCTAAGGTCACCCAACCTCAAAAGGTCTCTAGGTGGCTTCAGCAAGGTCTTGTTCCCACAGCATTCTGGATTAATCCTTTTCTATGACTGCAAAATCAGGGCCACCACAACCTCATGTGTAATTTATGCATTGCACAAGGGCATCACGTTGGCTGAGTCGGAGCAGGGAGCAACAATTAGTAGTTTAAAAAATAACCATGAAAAGCTGCATGGCTCACTTACATTGAAAGTGATTGCCTAGGGAAGAGAAGAAGATATAGTAGTTTGATTTTTAAAAAAACAACAGGTTTTTGAGGGGGAGGGTGCTGATTGGAGGTGCCTTGTATGCCAGCAGTGGCTAGTATATTGAAGTATATATTTATTTATTTATTTAATTTTATGCCACCCATCTCCCCCACAAGGTAAAACAAAGCTTACGGACTAGTAGCCGAATTACTGTTATCTTTCCCCATCTTCTTTTTCCATCCCCCTTTTATAGTTTGTCTTTTTTACATTGTGACTCCCTCCCAATGAAACAAAACTTCCTCTTAGAAACTATCCTGAAACTCTTCATGTTTGAAAAGTGAGATGTAAAACCTCTTTTTTTTAAAAAAAATGAAAATTTTCCTTTGTAGTCAAAAAAGAATTCCTCTTCTTTAAAATTCTGTAATGTATACATTCGATGTTTTTTGGGGGGTGGTGGGAGAGGGTGATGAGGAAGGTACACACACACACACACACACACACACACACACACACACACACAGGGTCAGTTTCCAGTAGGTCACCATGTGCCTTCAGGATGAAGAATTTTAATCGGCTGATGGATATGAAAAAATAAATTACATTGGCAAAACGCAATAAACATTAAAAGGAAAATGATGAGGGTAATATAAGAACATTGATTTAACAAGGATGATATAGAGGAATTGTCTGCTTTATAGGTTTCTAGATGTCTATTATGGGCTCTATATTAAGGGATATGGCTGTACTCTTGATATACTTAAGAGCTGTCGGTAATTCCTATTTCACAGTCTGCTGCTTCAATTCAGAAACCATGTTCCAGCTTGGCTGACTCCATCCTGGGTTTGTTGGAGGGTGACTGCCTGCCAAAGGTGTATTTTCAGGAGCTTGTCATGGGATGTGGTTATATTTTTCACAATTAAGCAGAGGTAAGAAGAGGTAACAAGCATTGCCTCCACATTTCTCCTCATCTTCTCCTCTACATCCTGCTCTGGAATTCTAATATCATTTTTTTTTTCAGTATTCCATCTCTCTACTGGAGATTCAGTGTCATGATCCTCTTTGCAACTGACTCAGCTCCCTTCCCAGCTCTCCAGAAGACAGAAATCTGCTTTACTAAAACGACCAAAGTCATACTAGATTATTAGACATGTTGAGAACTGTAGCTTGTGGCAGGCCTCAGATCATAGGTCTTCCTAGGACCTTGAAAATACTCACAGCTATGGATGACTTTGGTCCCACTGCAAAATAGTTCATGGTTCACCAAACATTTAATAATGTATCTATATCTATCTATCTATCTATCTATCTATCTATCTATCTATCTATCTATCTATCTATCTATCTATCTATCTATCTATCTATTTCTCTATCTATCTATCTATCTATCTATCTATCTATCTATCTATCTATCTATCTATCTATCTACATATATCTATATATCTGTCTTGCGAGTTAACAGGGTTGATGTTATATGTTATATATGGTGGAAACTAGTTGTTCTGCTTCAGATACCACATAATCTCCTCCCAGAAGGTAACAAGGAAAACAGGTCATGGAGAGGATGCGTAGTGTCCCTGACAATATTGTAGACCCGGGTCAAGCAGCACGTACATGCTATGTCCTGAATAGAAGAAATTGAACTTCCAATAATATTTTCTGCTGTCCTCACCACTCTCTGCACAGCCTTCCTGTCCAAAACAGTAATACACCCAAACCACACAGTAATACAATATGACAGGATGCTTTCAATTGTCCCTCTATAGAAAGTGGTAAGGAGAAGGGAAGGAAGGTGCACTCTTCTCATACGATGCAGGCATTGCTCTGCCCACTTCACCAGTTTCTCACTGTTGAGTGACCAACACACACACACACACACACACACACACACACACACACACCAGCCATTAACAGTCACAGGGACATAACATTTATATACCATTCAAAAGAGACAATAGAAAATCTAAAAAGGAAATAAAAAGATCACAACATCTCCTTCCCAGCATTCAACACCCAGATAAACAGGGATTGACACCAGACAAACATCTCAGTGAGTTCCATCATCTTCACCAACCATTCCTTCATTGTACGTATTGCCAAATCGTTGTCCCTCTACATCAGTGGTTCTCAACCTTTTCTTCAGCATGGATCCCCCCTTAATACCTTTGGTGGCCATGGATCTTAACTCCAGATTTAAATCATTTCTTCAAGCCTTCACAGACCCCTTGTGATGACATCGCAGGCCCGCAGCCATCCGAGGACCACAGGTCAAGAATTACTGCTCTACATTGACTGCTTAGCTTGCAAAGCTCCAATTAAAATCCCAAGTTATCTCATGGGGATTCTTTTAGTTTGAGAAGGGAAGGCAAATGGGAAGACTGGAGAATGATGGGAAGATTTATAACAAGGGGGGAAATGATCTCTTTCCACTGTTTCACAACCATAAAATAAGTTCAAAAATATAATCAAGAGGATTAAAAAAAAAGTAGGAACTTTTCATAGGAGTCTTTAAAAAATATTTTTTGCAATTGGTAGTTCAGCACCTGGCTGGCCTAGGAGCATCTTCTTATCTTGTAATACTTGTATTTACGTTTCTCCTTCAGGAGTTGCCAGCTTTAGATTGGACCCATTAATCATCATCATCATCATCATCACCACCACCACACAGTCAGCCAGATGTTCAGGCTGGATTTGGCACTATCGATTAGACAGATGTGGATGTTTGATGGTATCACAGATATCATTGCAGGATGGAAGCTGTTCCTAGTAAGGCCACCTTTTGTAATTGATTGATGGTGAATTTGTCAATGCCAAAGATGTTCAAATGGTGCTCCATTGTCTTTATCATTATTACAGTGACCCCCATCTTCAGTGCAACCTTGTTTTCTGTCCCCTTAGCTATTCTCTCAACGCGAAGCATTCAAATTGGTTACAAAAATCTCAGTGTAGTGTCTGCTTCTGATAATAAATTCTGGAAATTAGCTTGCTTCTCTCTAGGGAAATTGAAAACAAAAGGAGAGAAAGCACTCCATTAAAAGAGAAAGAGTGAGCACTGACTAGTCTTGAAAAGGCTTCCTATATCGGTGCATTTCTCAGTATGCTAATAATTCTTGATTAGAGTTTCCAAAGAACTTAGCTGCACATTGTTGAAGTCTGCCTTTCTGCTCATACAACTTCTTTTTCTAGTTTCCCCTGTACCACAAGGCTCACCCTCTCCTTACTGAATTAACCCATTTGGGTATTACAGAGGCTTATAGCATGGGGGGGTCTCATATTTAGAGCCCCAAATACAAGCCAACTATGTCTAGGTAATGATAGCAACTTGCAACACTAGAAATTTTTCATGGATCTTGTTTCTTCATTTAATTCAGCTTTCAGGGAAAGGCTGGAGAGCTATTTGTCTGGGGTGTTTTAACCTGGATGCCTACATTGAGTAAAAGGTTGGACTTGATGGGTATAATGTCTATTCCAGTTCTAGAATTCTAGGTTCTAATTTCAAAATCCAACTGTAAGACATCATTTCAGGCAAAATGCAGAGATGTTATCTCCAAAGAGGGAGAGAAAGAGGGAGAGGGAGAGGGAGAGAGAGGGGGAGAGGAAGAGGAAGAGGGAGAGGGAGAGGGAGAGAGATCTGCAACAGAGAGAAAAAGAGATGTCAGAGAATGAACGATTGTCTCTACCCAGTTTGAATTCAGGTCCTTCCTCACTGCTTGCTACAGTCCAGGCCATGAAATGATCCCAAGTGGTGGTGTGATGATGATGATGATGGTGGTGGTGGTGGTGGTGGCCCATACCAGAAGACAAAGATGTCCAATCATGTTTTAGAGCATGGGTGATGAAATTCTGGCATCCCAACTCAAATGCAACCTTAATGCCAGCCCTCATAGCTAATGAGGGCTATGGGACAATATAAAGAGGGACAATGGGTGCCCACTTCTGCTTTAGACAGCTTTCATGTGTAGAATAAATACTTCAGTGACATGGCAAGTGCTATCATGAGCAGATGGCAACATAACAGAGAATGAAGGTGCTTTATACATTGCAATAAATGCTCATTATATGGAGGAGGAGAAGGCATTGGCCTTTTGCATATTCAGAAGGACCTACAAAATAACCTGACTCTGTATGTATGTATGTATGTAACTATGTATGTATGTATGTATGTATGTATGTATGCATATATATATATATATATATATATATATATATATATATATATATATATATATATATATATATATATATATATTTCAGTCTCCTTAGTTACCTTTGGAACTAAATATATCACATCACTCCTGAATGCTTATCACAGTAAATAACAATGAGAGTCCTTTTAATAACCAGTTGAAGCAGAATTGAAAGTATAAATTATGCATCTCATGTCCAGCTGGTGAGTTATGGAGTCCCTCCCCATCCTTTCTCATGGAGAGCTGGCATTGCCATGTAGATTTCAGCCTTTTCAAGGGATAGCCTTGGTTAGGAGTGTCAGTCTTTCTTTATGACATGAAGAAATATCTACCAGCTTTTTGATCTATATCTTTAAGAATGGAAAGAGCAATTATGCCCCTTATAGAAACAGGCAAAAGGGAAGCTTGATGAGCCACGTTTATATAATCTATTCGGTATCATGATCAGGGTACAAAATCTTGACATCAGGCTAAAGCTTTCTCATTCTAATGTTGGATCAGCTATGGAATATACAGGTGGAGAACACTGAAAAGTGAACAAGATGTAGTGTGCTGCAGCTGCCAAAAAAGCCAACCCAGTGCTAGGCTGCATTAACAGAGGGATAGAATCAAATTAGGTGAAATGTTAATACCACTCTACAATGCCTTGGTAAGGCCACACTTGGAATACTGCATCCAGTTTTCATCACCACGATGTAAAAAAGATGTTGAGACTCTAGAAAGAGTACAGAGAAAAGCAACAAAGATGATCAGGGAACTGGAGGCTAAAACATATAAGGAGTGGTTGCTGGAATTGGGGTATGTCCAGTTTAATGAAGAGGATGAGGGGTGACATGATAGCGATGTTCCAATATCTCAGAGGTTTCCACAAAGAAGAGGGAGTCAAGCTGTTCTCCAAAGCACCTGAAGACAGGACAAGAAGCAACGGATGGAAACTAATCAAGGAGAGAAGCAATCTAGAACTAAGGATAAATTTCCTGACAGTGAGAACAATTAATCAGTGGAACAACCTGTCTCCAGAAGCTGTGAGTGCTCCAACACTGGAGATTTTAAAGAAGAGACTGGACAGCCATTTATCTGAAATGGTATAGGGTTTCCTGCCTGAGCAGGGGGTTGGACTAGATAGACCTCCAAGGTCCCTTCCAACTTTATTATTATTATTAGTGGGCAAGGGTGAAGTTCTAGAAGCACTGGGGTTTGAAAGAAGAGTCAGAATTTCATGAAATCTCTCTAAGATCATCTGTTGTACTTGACTAGGGGAATTTCTGTCCATCTTTGGGCAATCCTTCTTAGATAAGCAATGCTGAGTTTTGGAAGAGAATTGCCTTTATGAAAAAGACAACTCTTAGAATAAGAATTGACTTATCAAGATTTCTCCTAGCCTCATTAGAGTCTTTTCTGGCACTGAACAGCATACAAATTGCAAAATTAGACAGAGAGGGAAAAACAGACAGACAGACAGACAAAGTGGCTGCAAGCGATGAGCATGATAGCCTAATTCATGGAGGAGACCTCAGGGTTGAGATGGTTGTTCTAAGGCAGGGGTAGTCAACCTTGGCTCTTTTATGACTTGTGGACTTCAATTCCCAGAATTCCTGAGCCAGCTTAGCTCAGGAATTCTGGGAGTTGAAGTCCACGAGTCATAAAAGAGCCAAGATTGACTACCCCTGTTCTAAGGCTTTAGAAAAGGCTCTAATGGTCAATTATTGCAAGCTTTCATTTGCATCTTTTAAACCCTTATTCGACCAGATTGATCTTTACTATCCCATGTAAAAGATAGGAAGTTGAGGGTAAGAAGTAGAGACTACGTTATCGCTTTGAAATGAGTCTACCATATTTCAACTTAACTTATCCTCCTCTAGAACAGCCAAACCATCCATCATTAAAAAAAAAACCATTATGCTTAAAATATTAATCCAATATGTTATTAATAACATAGCCTAGGAATCTATCTTTCAAAAGACAGTTTTTATCATCTTGTTCCCTTTAATTTGCAGTTTGTCCCCTTTCCCAAAAAGAAATTTCTCTTTGAACAGTGTTAAAACTGTTTCAAAATGTATGATCTTAAATGTCACTTTTTATTTTTTTAAAAAGACGGGTTTTTTTGAAGAGTTAAAAATAGTTAAAAATACACACTTTGATAAACCATTTGGATTCTTTTTTTAAACAAAAACACGATGTCAAAAGGAAAGGGAAGGAAGCTTTTCTTAATATCCATATAACACCAACTCCTCTAGATATTAGATGCATATCAATTAGATGCTGAAAAAATTCCTGCCCTTGCTAAATACTTTAAAAAAAAAAAAGATGCACTCGAATTAATTGCTTGCATGCATATTGAGGCAATGCCAAATGCTATTTTGTTTGTGTGAATGGTCAAAAAATTAGACGGAGCTTTTCTTTCACTTTGTGTTACTTTGGATTTTTTTTTTTTTAAAGTCAGATTATATTTTTAGCTATCTGTGACTGGAGCCGCAAGAATTTTACCAATTCCCATACAATGAAAGGGAATCTACATTTCAACTTTTGTTAACACGGTTTACATGGGGCTACTTTTAGAGCTGATCTGAAAACTCCATCTGGCACAAAATGTAGCAGCTGTAGCTAATAAAGTCCCTTGAGAGAGCTTGACTCCTAGTGATTTCAGGGAAGCATCTCTGTAATTTTCTTGGCAATAGCATGGAATTAGTTTTCCACTATTTTCTCCCTGTATGTTTCTGCAACTTACAAATCTAACTAAAGCCCTGGGATTTTCAGGTAGTCTCCCACTGAAGAACTAACTGTCCTTAGGTCTAAACCTGCTTAGATCAGCCAAGGACATGGGATGCTGCTATCCATTCATGGACCCTAAGCATCTACAAGTTATGTTAGAAGAGGCAGAGAAAAGAACAGGGGTCTTCAAACTTGGCCCTTTTATGACTTGTGGACTACAACTCCCAGAATTCCTCAGCCAGGCACGTGTGCCTGCCTGAGGAATTCTGGGAGTTGAAGTCCACAAGTCATAAAAGGGCCATGTTTGAAGACCCCTGGAAAAGAATGGTTAACATTTGAATATGTTGTAATTGTAGAAGATTAGTCCTGAAGCATCTTGAAATAAAGCTGGCAGGATAAATAAATGGAGTAAATTTTCCTCAGAATCAATCAGAATAAAGCTGAAAGGGATCTTGGAGGTCTTCTAGTCTGCTCAAGCAGGAGACCCTATACCAGGGGTCTTCAAACTTGGCCCTTTTATGACTTGTGTGTGGTGAGGAATTCTGGTAGTTGAAGTCTACAAGTCATAAAAGGGCCAAGTTTGAAGACCCCTGCCCTATACCATTTCAGACAAGTGGTTGCCCAGTCTTTTCTTAAAAGCCTCCACTGATGAAGCACCCACAACTTCTGAAGGCAAGCTGTTCCTCTGGTTAATAATCCTCACTGTTAGGAAATTTTTCCTTAATTCCACGTTGCTTCTCTCCTTGATCAGTTTCCATCTACTGTTTCTCGTCTTGACTTCTGGTGCTTTGGGGAATAGGTTGACCCCCCTCCTCTTTATGGCAGCCTCTCAAATACTGGAAAAACTTAAGAACTTTAATGTTTTCCTATGTTCTTCTAAATGAACTTCCAAGTACCTCAGCTATTTCTTTGACTTAACAACAGTTCGTTTAGTGCTTGTTCAAAGTTATAACAGCCCTGAAAAAAGTGACTTATGACCATTGTTTACACTTATGACTGTTGCAGCATCCCCATGCTCACGTGATCAAAATTCAGGTGCTTGGCAATTGGTTCATATTTATGAAAGTTGCCGTATCCTGGAGTCACATGATCATCTTTTACAACCTTCTGACAAGCAAAGTTAATGAGGAAGACAGATTCACTTAGCAACCTTGTTACTAACTTAACGGCTGAGGCAAGAAAGGGTGTAAAATGGGGCAAAAATCACTTAACAAATGTCTCACTTAACAGAAATGGTTGTCATAAGTCAAGGACTATCTGTATTGGGTTGCTTACATCTCTAACAGCTTCAGTAAGAATCACCATAATGGATGGTCCTTTGATGCCAAGTTATTCTTACCACCTACTAGAGACTCAGTCAAGAGTCACTTTGAAACAAGATGGGAGGCAAATAAATTTAATAAATAAAATAAAAATCCAATCATAGGGCATGTACATTTCCAACTGACATTATAGGGTGCTTACTTATGAGTCCTGTACATTAAATGTTAGGGGGCAGTTTTGATCCTAGGGATGGATCTGCTCTGTGAGTCTCATTTTCTATATAGCTTTTCTGGTTGTCCTGGGAAATTTCAGTTAGCTGACATTTTGGGACAAAAAATATCCCCATATTGTAGTGGAAGCCTAAACCAGGTTTATTATTGCTCACAAAGTTTTTTTTAAAAAAATCAGCCAACTAAAACAAGCTAAACTTTGTCTACCAATCTATCTCAAAAGTGATTTCAGAGGAAAATTTCAGTGTTGCTCAGTGTATATTTTTGAATGTTTTCAAATGCTTTCTTTCCCATTTCCAAGGAGAATTACAGAACAATTCTACACCCATCTATTTTACAGTAACCATTTAGTTGAAGATTAAAATATCTTTGGGGCAAAACTAAGCAGCATCATGCAAGAATATCTTTCCAAGGGTTTCTCCAAATGGATTATACCGGACACCATCAGAAGTTATGGATTACTGGTTATATAATCCATATCCAGTTCTGAAACAGTGTCACTCTGTGAGTCAGATGGGCAGGCTCTAAATTTGTTATATAAATAAAAGGATTTCACAGAGCTTCGCATCTCATGATATTCCGTCCCCTTGTTAAAACTAACAGTAAGCCTTCTCTAATTTTCTGCATGTCTCAGAGTGACCTTTAGTGGCTGAATAATATATTGCAGATACAATCCTTTAACTTTATGAGTTGCTGGAAGAGTGGCGTTTTTACTTT